TCCCTTTAACTGCAGGCTAACTTCAATGATAAGTTTGATGAGCACCGAAAGAAATGGGGCGGTGGCATCATGGGTTCCAAATCTCTGGCCAAGAGCAAAGCTAAGGAGAGAGTCTTAGCCAAGGAGGCTGCGCAAAGGATGTCTTGAGCTTCTTCTAGCAAGCTGTTGGAGATAAAGTTTTAGTCAGAAAGGAACTTCTTGGATGATTTTAGCTCTTCTTTTTCCCCTTCAATTGCTCTGTTTGTTGTTGTGAACAAGTTCTGTATTGATTGGGTAGTTAAAATATTATCATGAGTAACATTTATAACGCTGATAACTTCTTTTTGCGACCCATGCGTGAGGGAAACAGTTAAATCAGTCATAATGTCAGCCACATTTTCATAGTCTTGGGTGGCTTTTTTCCATAAATATTGTTAAGGAAACAGGAACTGTCAACAAGAACTAGCAAAATCACCATCCTAACGTTCAACAAAAAAGAGGTATTAGAATAGAACTACTCACAGAAAATTGAGTTACATCATCTCTCGCCCATCCAAGTGAATTGTAGACAACAACTATCGACAGTATAAGAAGATAAATGGATGACGTATTTCAACGTCAACAGTTTGTGGTTAATTACAATGTTAAAGAATAAGATATGTCCTTGCCATGTTTCTCCCTTGTAGCATGATTGGTGTTATATATAATAATGATAGGAAGTTGGGAACTATCTTTGGATTTTATTGAGTGGTATAGAGTGAATCAAGAATGAATTTTTATTATTATGAATTAAAAAATTATGTATATTTATATATATACATATATATGGTGAAATAGCTTATTTAAAAGTAGATGAAATAGTTTTATTCTGTGAGAATTAAATGAAAATTGGTATGAGAATATCTTTATTACTAAAAAAACAATATGATGTTGTCAATAATAATCTTCCTGATGTTTTCTATGTCATTCATGTTGATATTGCTTGTTGTCTTTATCATACCATGCATGCATCATGATTTATCAAAAAAAAAAGTTATGGATTCTATTTTCACATCAACAAACAGAAATATATTTTTTGTAACAAAAAAAAATGATTTCTGAAGTAAAAGTAAAACAGACAAGATTGTTAATTCAATTCAATTACACATGTATTCTAAATATTATAATTGAATTTAATCATGTGATTTAATATTTTATTTCAAATTTAAGAGTTATAATAGGTTATTAATTAAATTTAAATTACATATAAAATTAAATTTGATTTTATATATAATTTGGTTCCAAACAAGCAAGCAATTATGATTTGGAAATCCATTGGTTGAGAACAAGAAGAAGAACAAGAACAAGAACCGAATTATTTAAATTGTTAGGTTGAAAGTGAAGACAAATATTCCTATATGCAAGTAGGGTGTTTATTTTTTGTTTGGTTTGATTTTTATCAAAAAAAATAATCAAATTGAAATTAAAAAAAAATCAAAACTGGTTCAAACTAACTGGTTTCAGTTTGATTTTTTAGAAAAAAACTGGTTCAAACTGTTTTTGCTTGGTTTTCTTGGTTTTGGCTCGGTTTTTACTCGATTTTTCTAGTTTGGCTTAATTTTTCCGGTTTGGCTTGGCTTACCGAACCGGCTGGGTTTTTCAAAATTTTAATTAGTTTAATTAGTTTTTTCGATTTGATTTTTTCAATTATTTTGTTCTAATTTTCTCAATTTAATTGATTTTTTAATTTTTTTATTCACACATGTATGCAGGCTTATATGCGACCAAGTGATTTCATAATGCAAATCTCCCAACAGAATATTGTTGTGCTGACTGTAACGAGTAAAGAGAAAACTAGGTTTTTTTTTTATTAGTGCTCTACTTTGGTTAAATTGTTTAACGTTGACTAAAGATATGAAATTAAGATACCCTCTCGTAAAAGAAAGCATAAAAAATCACAAATCTTAAGTTTCAATAACATAATTTTAAATTATAAAATTAAAAAAATAATAATCTAAAACTAAGAAACATAAAAAAAAAAAGAAAATTGAATCAATTCAAATTCACTCTACTAACCTTCACTGAAGAGCGGAGCAAGAACAAAAAATTAAAGGAGGTTAAATTGAAAAAATTGTTTTAAAAAGATCGAAATTATACTAAAATTATAAATATTTACAAGGAGGGAGGTGCTGAGAAATGTACAGTAGAGAATGCAATTGGGTGGCGGCATGTCCAGTAAAAAAAATCCCCATAGGTTTGACTGCATGGGGTGGCATCTTGTTTCATCTTGCTGATCTTTATTTGCACACTAGATTACCCAGAAAATCAATTAGACGCGAATTAATAAATTTGAATAAAGATGCCATGCACCCAGATGGCATCCAAGATTGCTTTGTGTAATTCTTTTGTTTTTCACAGTTACAGTATAAAATGTAATAAAGATGGCATGCATTCATAGAATGCTGTTACGCTTCCAAAAATATATTTGTTTGCTCGTCTTTTGATAATTTGTTAAGCTTTTGATCTTCTTGCCTTGTGGTCTTACTTACAGCCCATTGCATTTTGTAGAAGATAGGTATGGATGATAATAATAATAATAAGTCGAGGGATGGATTTGGAGAGCCGATGATGACTTTCTCTTCATTATAAATTTACAAAGATTAAAATAACATACTTATTATATGTATGGTATAATATTATATAATGTTAGAATAATATTACCCAATATAATTTAATTTTGGGTGATAAAAGACATTTTAATTTCACAACATTAATGTATGATATTCAAAATTTTATCAATATTTTATTATTTCAAATGAAAAAAAAAACTATTCAAAAATAAATAAAATGAGATTTGATTTTCAAAGGTTAAATATTTCTATTAGAGTTGTATTTAAGCATTTTTAAATGCATTTTAATTTTATCTGGGATTTGATACCAGGTTGATACTTTACTTAATAATTGTTCATCAAGCAGCTTCCTTTTTTATTTTTTTTCAATAAACATTCATTGTAGTAGCTCACTTAAGTCCTATTAAGGACAAGACCCAACTCTAATGGATACAGAAGGGCCTCATGCCATTGAGTCCTTGGGGAAGCTAGAAGATCTAAAATAATTTTGGGTCCATCTAAGAGTAGGATCCATTTGAGTTGAGTCTTGCTGGAAGTAGACCTATCCATTTTAGATCTTTTTGCAATCAGGATCCTTCAGCTTTGGATCTTACCTTTAATAGGACCCATCAACATTGGGTCCTATTTGGAGTATGCCATCAGTGCTAATAGGACCTTTCAATATTAGGTCTTGTTCCAGCAAAAACCAAGACTCAACAGCTTTGGGTCTTCACTCCCATCTCACCAAGACTCAACATCTAATTGGACATTATTGCCACTAGACCCAACAACTTTAGGTTTTGCCTACCATCGTGACCTAATGTTTAGTTAGACCCTTCTACCACTAAAGCCTAATATTTTTGAACTCTTTGTTAAATAGGACCCAATAGTTTGGGTCATGTCAAAAGCAAAACCCAATGCTTTGGGTCCTGCTAGGAGGCCAAGCCCATCAGCATTAAGTAAATCTCTTTCATTCAAAATTTGAGCCTACTATTGACCTGAATAAACCAGTTGACCTGTGAAGTTAACCCAAAACTCGGGTGATCTAGCAAAAACTTGAAAGAGATCTTTTTTTAATGTGTTTTTTATCCTACCCTAAACCCTTAATTTTTTTTTATATTTTTCATATGGTTTAAATACAAAATAAAGTGACATGACGGGTTAAAAAAACTAAAAAAAAATAGCAAAAACATCCTTTTTCTTTAAGGGGCTTCTTTTATTTTATTTTTATTATTTGATCCACAATAGAGTGCAGGTCACATAATTAGTATAACAAGCCGACCCAACTTGTTATATATTATACGTTTTAGGCCTTATCGCTTTCACAATTTGTTCTTAATGATGTGAGCCCACTTGTAAGCTTGACGCCCCTAAACGTGTATGACAAGTTAGCAACCAACATTCTTAATAAGACCAGTTACCACTTTCTCATCGATTGATGTAAGATATTACAATCCACTCCTCTTAAGGAGTCTGACGACCCTATCAGCACAACCGGACAGCAAGTGAGGTCGGTTTTGATATTAACTATAAAAGCTCAATCCAACTTGTCATATATTGTCCGCTTTGGATCTTACCGCCCTTATAATTTTATTTCTAGTGATACGAATCCACTTTTAAGCTTGATGCCTCAAAACATATATGACAAGTCAACAACCATTACTCTTAATAAGACCAGTTACCATTTCCTTACCCGCCAATATAAGATATTACTACTAGTCAAAGCACTAAACCATAAGATTAGAATAAAAAAAAAATACTAGATTAGTTAAGTCAAAAAGAAATTAGCAAACACAATTTAAATAAAATTTATATAAAATATAAAATATAAAATATAAAAACACGTATAAGTAACATAAGTAACCATTGTGAAAAATCAAAAACGAGGTAAAGAGAAATATAGATGCCTAATTAACATCTAAAAATAAGATACAAAATTAGGATTTATTTTTAGTTTACATTAAAAAAATAAAGAGAAAAATATAAAATATTTTAAAAATTAGATAAATATTAAATTAGAAAAAACCATAAAAAAATTAAAACCTTCAAAATAAAAGTCTAATACCAAGGATGAAAAACTTGGAACTTTTATATCGGTAAAGAGTATAACATCAACAAACAAAGCAATAATATATTTGATAAAAATAATCAAAGCTAACATTTTGTTGTTCATAAAAAAAAACATTAAAATATTTATTATTATTTTTTCAAAGATAATTTTCTCTTTATATTAATTTTTAATATAAAGAGAAAATTCTCTTTGAAAAAATAATATATATATATACATATATATATATATATAAGGAATTGAGAAAATTTGATAGTTGATCAAATTTTAAGAAGAAGGTAGGGCTTAACAAAGTAGAAGTAAAATAAACCAATTAGCATACTGAAGGGACCAAAATGTAAACTGAAAGAACAATTTAGGGTTTGGGCAAACCCTACTAAAGCAGCCGCTTTTGCTACTCTTCTGCCTCTACCCCTTTTCACCTCAAACACGTTCAGGTTTTCGATCTGCAAGTCTCCTCTTCTAGATGGTAACATATATTACTCATCTTTCATGCCTCTTTCGTTTTTCTCTTTCAACGTTGTCTATCTTGTGCTCAAAAGGCTTAACTGATGATTTTCTAGTGTCAAATTGTACTCTTTTTTTTTTTTTTTTGACGCCGATGCTTTTATTTTTGTTGGGATGGAGGGTGTATAATCTTACTTCTCTATGTGAATAGACTGAAATCTTAGTCTTTCTAGTGTTTTTTTTTGTACTGTGTGTGGTAAGGCAGAAAACTTAATTGGAAAAAAAAGTATTAAAAGTACCCAAAAAACTTAATTTTCTTGAGTGAATATTTTTTGGAGATTCTGCTGGTTTGTTTTTATTGGGGTGTTAGTTAATAGCTGCGCTTCTTGTTGTATGAATTGAAGTTTCATTGCATTTTGTTATTTTTGATATCTCTGCTGTGAGGCTATGTGATATGGTTTGGAAATTGGTGGATGATGGAGGACTTTTTGAGGGTGTAGTGTAGAAATGTTGCATTTACAAGCACCATACAGGGTATATATTGGTGGAAAAGACCAAAAACATGGTATTTTTACCCATTGTTTTGATCAGCTCTGTTCTTGATATGCATATTTTGGAATGATGTTCTTTGGTTTCTTTCCCTTTTTTTGATTCGTTGGCTTATCTTTATGTTTACTACAGGCTCCCAAAAGAGGTGTGAAGGGCCCACTGGCAGCAAAGAAGAAACCTGTGCGTGATCTCCCTCTCTCCCTCTTTGTCTCTTCTGTGGTTGTCGACGTTTATTTCCATTTTGAATTTGTAGCCAGCTAGACCCATCCACTGTTTCCTGCAACTATCCCCTTAATCTCATGCAATCATATGCTTCTAAAAAGTCGAGAATACAAATGCTAAGAGATTATGATTTATACTCAATTCATAGAACTTGCATGTGATTATTATAATTCTGCGTCATTATTGACAGTTGGGGTTTATACTCTGCTTCTTTGCAACTAAAGGTTTAGTGCACTGATGTTGATTAATTACAGGAAAAGGTAGTAAACCCTTTGTTTGAAAAACGTCCAAAGCAGTTCGGAATTGGTGGTGCCCTTCCACCCAAGAAGGTCTTGACTAGACTTGTCAAGTGGCCACATGTTGTTCGTATTCAGAGGCAAAGAAGGATTCTGAAACAGCGTTTGAAGGTCCCTCCTGCTGTTAACCAGTTCACAAAAACACTTGACAAGAACCTCGGTAAATCTTCCATCCCCAATCTAGAAAAGTTAACAAACTTTGGTTCCAAGGATCATGGATGATGTTGCTTAAATGTAACGTCAATTATTCTTATAGATATTGTGGTGCATTGATGCATTTTTTAAATTACTGAAGCTGCAGATAATATTTGTTGTTTTGTTTTCATCATATTCTATTACAGCTACACAACTTTTTAAGCTGTTGCTAAAATATAGACCCGAGGACAAGGCTGCTAAGAAGGAAAGGCTTCTTAAGAGAGCACAAGCTGAAGCTGAGGGGAAGACTGTGGAAACAAAGAAGCCTATTGTTATTAAATATGGTCTTAACCATGTTACTTACCTCATTGAGCAGGTATTGATGTTAGCATCTACAGTTTTTTTTTTTTTTTTTATTATTATCTCTGCTGCTAATTGGGTAATAAAGTGATAATATATGTTCTGGTGCATTGTGTACCTTTTCTAATTGACCTATTTGAGATTTCTATTGTAATTAAGGTTTTATAGGAGAAGATGACTTTTGAATTGATTGCTTTGTTTCATCTCTTAACCTCTCTCCTCTCATTTCTGTCAATTATTTGGCTGGTTTACACATCGATTCTTATCCCTCTGCTTACACACACACACACACCTTCCTTTCAACCTTTTATGGGATCCATGGGGAGAAATTGCAAGGCCAATTTTTTGTGTTCTTGTCTAGGTAATATTGTTTTTTTCTTGATGCGTGTAGAACAAGGCCCAGCTGGTGGTTATTGCACATGATGTAGATCCAATTGAGCTTGTTATTTGGTTGCCTGCATTGTGCCGGAAAATGGAGGTTCCTTATGCCATTGTGAAGGGCAAGTCACGACTTGGAGCGGTGATTTCTCTGAACTTTTTCTTATGCATAGAATAATTTTTTCAATTAATTTTTCATGGATAATGAAGGATATTTGTTTTTAAAAAAACAGATTGTCCACAAGAAAACATCATCAGTTTTGTGCCTTACTTCTGTCAAGAATGAGGACAAATTGGAATTTAGCAAGGTTTTGGAGGCAGTCAAGGTAATATCTTAATGAGCAACGACCCTATACCATGACAGGCGTGAAATGATTTCTCATCAAACTTGCTTTTTTATGTGGTTTACCTTAGCATGGCTTACCTATTTCTTGAATTCTGTTCTTGCTTCTCACGTTTTTTCCTCTCTTCAACTGCAGGCTAACTTCAATGACAAGTTTGATGAGCACCGTAAGAAATGGGGGGGTGGCATCATGGGTTCCAAATCTCTGGCCAAGAGCAAAGCTAAGGAGAGAGTTTTAGCCAAGGAGGCTGCGCAAAGGATGTCTTGAGCTCATCTCCTTTAGAGGCTTTGGACACGATTTACAGTGAGAGGATCTTTCCTAGATGATTGTAGCTTTTATTTCTCTTTGTTTACTGCTCTGTTTGTTACTACCGTGGACAAGTTTTGGATTGATAGGGTGGCTGAAACATCTCATCACATCCTCTGTTATCCATCCTTTCTGTGGGAGAACGAAAATCTAAAGCCATCTCCTCTTTAACTTAATATTATTTTGTGTTTATCAGCAATTTGTTGAAATTGATCTCATGTCAGATGATCAGCTAACCTGAGCAGGATGATCTGATATCAATTTTTCCTGTAAGGGTTGATGGATTATACTGTTCATGATTTACTGCTTGCACCCGCTTATCGCATCTAAAATGAAATGTAGCCATTAGGAATGTATTTTTTGGTAGCAGCAAGATTTTTTTATTGCAAGTCCAATGGAAGGCTTAAAAAAATGTGTGTGGAATTTCAATGGTATTAAGTGAGAAAAGTTCATATTATTTCTTAATCAATCGTTTTAAATGGACTAAAATGTAAAATATGTAATAAAAAAATATTATTAAAAAACTAAAAAGCAAATTGTTAATTAGGAAATAAAACTAAGTTAATTTATCTACAAAGTGCACCTGTGCACAAAGCAAATGCTCGTGCATTCATCTGCTGACTCCTGAATTTAACATCTGTTCTAACTTCCAAACCAATGGTGATACCAACTATCCTCTCTCCAGGAATTCATGAACAATATCGCATCATTGAGATAGCACACTCAACTTCTTTGAGCCACTGTTAATATCTATTGCAGAAATGAAGATAATAACAGAACAGATTTTCGAAATCCTTGCTTGTTGCTTGAATCCAATCTCGACACCAATTGCGCGTTTCCTAGTTCCCTGAGACGGAACCTTCTCCTTGAGCCGGCCCTTAGAGACACTTCCAAAACCTCCATTGCCAAGAAACTAATCATTTCTAACATTGAAGGTTGCGGCCTTCAATTGTCCTCTCGATTGTGAGTCTATAGCTGTTCCCCGATCTGGAAGAACCCCTTCCTTCATCTATTACAGCATGGGCACCATTGCTCTATGTTGAGAGATTTATATATTTCACTTGTAGTTTTGGAGATTTTGTGATTTGCGCGCTATAGATGGACCAATTTTTGAAAGACAAGCGGCCAAGGAACATGCTTTTATTGAATACATGCACGTTCTATTTCAATGGTGGATGGTGAGTGGACAATGTTTGAGCATGAGGAGATATAACACGTTCATATGCTGACCTTGCGTGCAGTAGCCTATGTATTTACAACCATAACTACAGTAACTACACCAAGCTTCACCTAGCTCCAGTGAGTCGTGTGGATGGCCAAGCCTAAATAAAAAGGTGTATTGTTGCTAGTTTTATTTAGGCCTTGAATACGTTAAGCACTGTAAACGGAACCTTCTCCTTGAGCCGGCCCTTAGAGACACTTCCAAAACCTCCATTGCCAAGAAACTAATCATTTCTAACATTGAAGGTTGCGGCCTTCAATTGTCCTCTCGATTGTGAGTCTATAGCTGTTCCCCGATCTGGAAGAACCCCTTCCTTCATCTATTACAGCATGGGCACCATTGCTCTATGTTGAGAGATTTATATATTTCACTTGTAGTTTTGGAGATTTTGTGATTTGCGCGCTATAGATGGACCAATTTTTGAAAGACAAGCGGCCAAGGAACATGCTTTTATTGAATACATGCACGTTCTATTTCAATGGTGGATGGCGAGTAGACAATGTTTGAGCATGAGGAGATATAACACGTTCATATGCTGACCTTGCGTGCAGTAGCCTATGTATTTACAAGCATAACTACAGTAACTACACCAAGCTTCACCTACCTCCAGTGAGTCGTGTGGATGTCCAAGCCTAAATAAAAAGTTGTATTGTTGCTAGTTTTATTTAGGCCTTGAATACGTTAATCACTGTAAACGGAACCTTCTCCTTGAGCCGGCCCTTAGAGACACTTCCAAAACCTCCATTGCCAAGAAACTAATCATTTCTAACATTGAAGGTTGCGGCCTTCAATTGTCCTCTCGATTGTGAGTCTATAGCTGTTCCCCGATCTGGAAGAACCCCTTCCTTCATCTATTACAGCATGGGCACCATTGCTCTATGTTGAGAGATTTATATATTTCACTTGTAGTTTTGGAGATTTTGTGATTTGCGCGCTATAGATGGACCAATTTTTGAAAGACAAGCGGCCAAGGAACATGCTTTTATTGAATACATGCACGTTCTATTTCAATGGTGGATGGCGAGTAGACAATGTTTGAGCATGAGGAGATATAACACGTTCATATGCTTATGTATTTACAAGCATAACTACAATAACTACACCAAGCTTCACCTACCTCCAGTGAGTCGTGTGGATGTCCAAGCCTAAATAAAAAGTTGTATTGTTGCTAGTTTTATTTAGGCGTTGAATACGTTAATCACTGTAAATGGAGATAAAGGCATGACGCTGGCTAATCATCTGAAATTTGATTTGTAGGGCAAAAGCTTTCATTTTACCCGTCACATCCCTCCCTAGACTCGTCCATTTTCTGCCTTAAAGCCATCTTAAACCTTAAATTTCCATACACCAGGATTCACAGCCACTTTACTTGCGACAGAAAATTAAAGTGCAGATAGCAGAGGCACTGCTCTACCTGAAGTGCAAAATTAACTGCAGTAACAACCAATCAAAGCATGAGTGCATATTTGTGACCTGATGTCCCGGAAAAGACGAGTAAGATTTTCATTTACTCCAACAAATCTGAAAAATTTGAGGAATTAAGATACAATATCTCATTTCTTTTTGAGTCTTAACTGACTGGATACAAAAAAATTACCCAAAACTCCTGAAAGGTATGTGCTATTTCTATGACATTGAATCAAATAAAGCCAATGCACCCTCGGGCAAAAGGAGCGTACAAGTAATAACATGAGAGGGTTCTAGTCACCTAAGAAACACTTTTAAGCGACCAATTATGGCTACAACCATGATGGAAACACATGCCATGTGAAAGATTGCAATCCATGTGACGCATGTGGCCTGTGAATTCTTTGATTACATATGCAATGCGAGAAAATCAGCGTGAGCTAAGCTCCACTCAACAGCCCTATCTGTAAAACCAAGTATCAATACTTGCCTGACCAGTCAAGTTAGGTATCTGTCCGTGTTGCAATGGTGACCACGCCATACATGAATAGGGAAAAAAAATCTGAATTTGCTTGGATGTGTTAGAAGGAATAGCAGTAAGGGCATGCCATATCCATATGGCAGAAGAAAAGTAGAACACTCAAGTGGCAATAGTTTTTCATTCTTCATTACCGATGCAGTGGTGCCTGACTATGAAGCTCTAAGGCTCTCGCAACCTGGGCAATTGTGCAGGCTCTCATGAATATAAATGTCACAGTCAAGGCAAAAGTACTGTTTGCATTTTGGACAAGCAACTTGAAGGCTGGGTTTATTGCCTGTGACAAAACAATTAGAATAGCTGAGCAACAAAAACTTGCCAAACATAATGAGAGTCTTAACCATAAATCAATCAGCAAAAGAGAGGAGAAAAAAACTAAAATATGAGGTGCACCAGTCCGGTAGCAAATAAGTTTTCTTTTAAGCAGAGAAAAAAGGTAAACAGAAACTCAGCCCAAATAAATCTGCCAGCTAACATTGGTCCAGCAGTTTGACACCAGAGTTAAAATATTTGTCTTCTTGATAATTTTACCAGAGATAGGCAACAAAGGATCTAGGTTATCATGATGCATCGATGACACTCAAAAAAAGTTTGGTTTGCAGGCAGAGTAATTTTCAAACATCTCTGCGTGTGATGCCCCAATAATAATAGCAACATGAGAACATAATTCATCCGAATCTGGATATTATTTCTGTATTGCATAGGCATGCATGGTCATGAATAGAGACATATAACAAGAAGCATGTACAATTGCAAAACCTCCACATCTATATAACTCACCAGGATTGACAAGGCTTTGTTGGCAACCAAAACAAGTTTTATGTGATCTACGATGTAGTTCATTTTGACGTGATGGTTTCACCTCATCAAATGGTGCTATGGGAAAGAGATGATGGTACGACCTTGCTAAATGGGGTGAAGAAACAAGTGTCAACCCACAAATACGGCATTCAGTAGGAAGTTCACACACACGCGCTTTACATCTTGGACAAATATACCCCTCACCAACTTTCGATTCTTTATGACAAGAACATATCGAGATGGAACCCTCTGCTGCTCTTTGTGGGAAACCCATCTTGATCAAGTTAGCTATTGCAAATTCTGCTATTGCCGGAGGAGGGGGTGCATGCTCCAATATTAACTCTCTAAAGTGGCTCTGCATAAGAAAAACATAGCAGCAGTGCTCATGAAATATGCTTTCAGCTTTAGGATGGGTAAGAAAATATTAGATGCCCTTGCGTTTTGTAGAAGATTTTCTTTTCCTGGAATTTTTGTAAGACTCAGATTTATTTTAAGCTTTTAGTTTTCAATAACAGCCAGATTGCTTACAACATGGCAAGTTATTCTCAAATTCCTTTTAGTTAATATAACTCACCTCATCCAAAGCAACAGAGTACAATCCACCAGTTTCTTGGCAGAGATGCTTGCATATGAACATTTCAGCAGAGAGGCCAATAACTGAGCATCTCATTTTAGACTTCTTGCATTTCTGGATTGTCTCCATTATATCTCCCGGATCACAGGTCGTAAGAGCAGAATATAAGATGAGAACTTCACGATTACCATATGATGGAATTTTATCAAGATACTCATGAACAAGCTCCAGTGCATTCTGTAGTGACGAATCACCTGAACATTCCAACTTAGCCATCAAAGCCTTAATATGAGACTCAGGACTCCCACCAAGCTCCGTTAAAGAATAAGCAACCCCATCTTTTATAGTGACCAAAGCAATCTGACTAAGTGGATTCTGATCAAAAAACTCCCTTATAAACGCCTCAACATTTTGCGCAACCACAGCCATTCTGCTTGGTCGAAAATCCATCACTGATGCTGCCTACAAAATTCATTTCTAATTTGTTACTTTCATACCATTTGAAGACCAATTGATAGTTCAGAAAATGTTTTTTCATTGCTTTATCACATAATATGAATAAGAGGACATAATACTTCATTTCTTTTGTCCCATGCATAAGAAATTATTTTCTTAATGCAGGGAGCAAATCCACCTAACAATTA